ACCCATCACTGTTTTAAGCAACCCCCGGATCTGTGTTGATGAAGGCGTATTGAGTATTAATGCAATCGGCAGGTTAATTCCATAGCCTTTTCATGTCTCCGGGTCTTTGGTCCGGCCGCAAAGTTATTAGCTCACTAGCCTCATGTAGAGTCCGTCCAATCAAGTCTTGGAAACGTAAAGTTCATGAGAGGCGAAGCACTGACCTCATTCTGTTAATCGGATCACAGAACTGTGCATCATTAGACCTCTGCTGCTTTTAATTACCCGATGGGGTTACAAATATTATTAATTTTGAATGCTGTTACACAAAATACATCACTTTTACATGCTGTAATTTAAAAACACATAAAGCGATGTTAAACATTAAATGTAGCTATCAAATGTTAGACCTTTTACTAAGGAAATATTCTAAATTGTTGTGATACAAGTAATTCTCCCATAATTAGTCGTTTTGGGTTATTTGAATACTTTATATATAAGAATTCTACTATATAGCCACATGAAAACCAAAAACACTTAGGATGTCTTGCCCGCGACTAGGATTTGAATGGAAATCTCCCGAATTTCCGATATTCTACCACATTTATTTGTTACCTGCAAATGTAGATTACACATGAAATAGGTTCTCCCCTCATTTTTTTACTTGAAGATTGAGGAAGATCCACCCTTTAAAATGTAGTTATTTTAAGGTTTTAAGAACTTTTAAGACTTTTGATAAACAAATTATGGATACGTCTAAAATAAAGAAAATATTAATAAAAAAGCTTATTTTAATAAAAATCAGCGTGGGAAATTTTGAGCAGAATATTTCACTGTGTGGCATGCTGAAGTGTTTAACTAGTCATTTCTCAAAACTGTATCACTTCCAGAGGTTATGTACGGCCGAGTAGAATCTAGCTGTTCCCTACGTTCAGCTGGAAATTGACTGTAAAAACATTGTAGCCTATTTAAGAGACTAACTCCTATGTCTTTTCAAGCAATCATTGGAACATATATTATCAAAACATTCTTTCTAGGTAATTCACCTAGTAAATAATTCTCTTATCTAGCCTAATTTAGAAATAAATAACCTATATAACTGATGCAGCATCACTTTATATTCAGACGTTCTAATTCACTTCATTTTCGCTCTGGTTAAATTCATTTATAGTGCTGTCCGCAAGCTGAAAGTATTTATAGACCATTACTTCTAGTGGATCTGACGTAGCCCAGTTATGCAGGAACTGAGTGGGCGTGTCATAGAGATGTGTGAATCTTGGCGACGTCTTGTTCTTACTACGTCTCTATTTCTCTACGTATTTGCGGATAAGACTTATGGCTCTGTTCCGACTCCATTTTGTAACTGATCTTGATCTATAACAAAATGGAGGTTTACAATGCAATGTCCGTGAGTCTATGTGTTTGTCCCTGTGTAAGATTTTTTGATTACGTTTTAAATCTGGTACGAAATCTTGCCACTAGACGTCACTCTACATTCTTTACGCTTACGAACGTAGATGCTGTGTGGAATTTTTATGCTGGATGTGATACATCAAGGGGGAGTGATATTTGGTGTAATTATACATTTTCCAAAAATATTAAATTTTGTTATAGCTCGCTGGTTTTATAAAGTTAAGAAATAAAGCGTCACCCCAGGGCAAATACTGTTTACCTCCAGACTCAATGAAAATTTATAATGAAGTTAATCTTATGAAATTTTGAATGACGGTAGATAATAAATATTACCTACAGATAGCTTTATGTTTCAATATTTACATATTTTTGCTGAAGGTTAATATTATATAATTAAGATTTAATGTAGTGGGAATAAATATTAGTGAAAAATATACGAGGTATTTCTTGAATAGCTGTGCTAATATCAGCTTCTCCATGTAGTTAATTGACTTATTGGTTATTTGATTGTTGTTTAAGCAAATATAAATACAGATTCAATTCTGAAAGATCGCAATTGTAAACTCCACGTGTTCCAATCTTGTAAATGTTGTCGACACATCAGTCGTCTGCGCAAATGTTCGCATCCAACACAATGAGTTTATTTCTGCTTTCCTGTGCGTCATGTTCTGATACGAGGGGACTCTTGGTGGACCTTTGGCTCTCAGGCCAGCACAGGTGCGCTAAATATTAAAATGGCCTAAGTCTCATTTAACCAAATCGAGATTATCGCACTAGAAATATATGAGTCATGTTTATTCTTAATAATTATTGCACTGTATGTTCTATTGAACACGGACGTGTGTGACAAGATTAGTCGAGTGGTATTACTCAGTCTCTCCAGGCAAATGCCGGGGTAGTTGCTTAAATTAAGCCGCGACCGCTTCCTTCCACATCCTTTTCAATTCATTAGTCACAATCTTACGCTCATTCGACGCAGTATAGTCTGAGCGTTGTTAAATAAACTACAAATATATACGAAATTTTTGAAGTTAACCTGACATTAGTGAGAAGTTTAATTTTGAAATTTTGGATGAATTAGATTGTTAATAAAATATTATGTATGGACACTGAAAGATTGAAATCAGTACAAATAAGATATAATGATATTATACGCCATTACAAAACTATATCATCAACAATTTATACATTTTAAAAAAATTGAAATATTATCAGTGAAACTGAAAATTACAAAGGATAAAATGAAGACAGACTACCAAAGCAGACAACTCTCTGGATCTACGAGATTCTTGGTGCCTGAGAAAGACTAAGAAGCCTACTGTAAGTGTAGGATTTTACCACAAGCTGCTAATCGTAGCTTATGATGATTATTATGATACAGGAAACATAAACTGACAAATAACGTAAGTTAATTGACAAGCTTAAGAAAATGTTTGGCTTAAGAAATACGAGGAGAATGCTGAAAATTACACCATAAAAAACTTTATAATTTGTACTATTCTCCTGATGTTATTGGTGTAAAAATATCTAGCAGACATGAGCTAAATGAGAAATCAAATGTTTCAAATGGAACCCTGAAGGAAAAAGGCTATGTGAAAGACTCAGGCATTGAGGATAATATTAAAGTGGACATTAAAATACTGGTACGTGAATATGCGGAATACATTGAACTGGCTCAGACTCGATCCAATGTTTGGCTTTTACGAACATAATAATGTAGCTCTGAGTTTCTTACGAGCGAGAAATTTCATGACCGGTTGGGTTATTATCAACTTTCTATGATAATCATTAATTACGAAGTTGGTTAATGTATTTCATAAAACAATATTTCAAACATGTAATAATCAAGATCAATAATGTTAATATATAAAGTAGACCACTTGATGATAAAATATATTCACAATTAGACCTACTATATGCTAATTTTAAACACAAGAAAGTCAGTTGTTATAAGAAAGATCATTACATGGTAGTAGATTAGAGCCATGTGTTGCTTAGCAACGAAAACAAAAGTCTTAATGGTGACCTACCGAAAAATGTTTTAACATTTTTAGCATTGAACAGCAAAATGATATTTATGATACATTGGCTCAATGCATGCATAAATTGAGAGTGGTCGAGGGTAATTTTCATATCGAGACTGCATAATGCTAAAGTAAGTATAAAATCTGAAGAGAAAAGTTTTATATCTGACATCGATCCAAGGTCTATGTGGTACGGGAAATTTCCAGAACAGGCCGGACCGACACAGCAAATAATTGGCAGCCTTTTTTGGCAGAAGGAATTGAATAAATATGTAGAAAGAGCAATGGCAATTATACTCTAAAAATCGATTGGAAGTCTGCAAATGTTCATGAAATATTGCTTTCTTGCAATGAATTACGTGTTACCATTATTTAGCATATCAGACAACTCCCCTACTCTTATATAACCTGTACGTTCATCAATTCAGTCAGAAGAATCCGCCATTTGCCAACATCCTGAGCCGGTTGAATCCAGTTTACATTTCACGACTTGCGACTTACATTTTAAAATAATTATAAAGTAGCTTGGTTGTCGGATGATTTTAGCTTTTGAACCAACAAAATTCGTGAAATGTTTTACTATGTAGCCAAGTATCAGCTTCTCATGAAGGACTCAGCCGTATTGCTTTTTTAAATCACAATTTCCTTCGTAAATCCTCGGTGCAATGTTCCAGCATTGACAATGTCAGCTTTACGGATTTAAAAGTAAGGTGGGATGTGATTAATATGAGTGACAAAGCTGAAGGCTGGGGTTTGATTTACGGCAGGGACATTCCGATATTCTCTTCCCCGGAATGTCCAAAACGAGTCTGTGGTATACCGAGCCTCTTATCCGAGAGACGCAGTTAGTTTAACAAAGAAATAACAACAAAGGACGAGGCAGAGATAAATAAATCTTTCTCTGATTTTGTCACACTTTGTTTACTGTCGTTAAATTTTTAGAAACGCAATTTTAATTTCACAATGTCACAACACATCGTTTGACAAACAGCAGAGGAGCTCAAGTGAGGAAACCAAATATTTTCATGCACAATACGAAAATAGAGGACAGATTTAAGAGCGTATCAAATTACAAACCAACGTTGACATCGCCTGTTTTCCAGATGCCACTAATTAACTCAGTGTCTAAAATTGAATGCGGCCAAGGCTAATTTGTGCATGCGGACTAGTGATCTATAAATCGGGTCACGAATTTATCTCGCTAATTATCCCACTGTGAGAGTAATTATATTATTTTTATACCGGACATCACAAAGCTTTCGCCGTATTGTTGATTCGATCGGCTGCGACAGTCTGTACGCGACGGATGAACTTCGTGACGAGCGACGCCAATGACTGGCTTTGTTCAGGCGTTTCCGACGCCATCCACCAGCTCAGCACTCGAACCGCGAGCCGTCCAGGTCATGAGACGAGTTCCTCGTATATCTGACGTATTTCTTCCGCTGGGCGTGAACATAAGCCACTGATACATGTAAGAGACGAATGATTTACAGTGCCAAAAATCTCAAGGAACCTTCGCTTCTCCTGCCCGTACCTCTCGCCCCCTCCCCCTCCACAGTGAGGAGGATTTGCTCTGTCGTCGTCACCTCTGATGCATTCCTGTGGGACTCAGCCCAAGCCCACAGTGGGAATTCATCGTAAGCACCGCAGTGAGTTCCCTTCCTTTGCCTCAATGTAGGCCAGTTCTTCGTGAAAGTGTTTCTAAAAAGACTTATTTTACGGAAGAACCAATTACTGTGTGTGCGTGGGTACATTCGTAATTTTACCTCGTTTATCTCTGGACAGTAAGTGTATTCCTGTAAGTACAGTTGTAGTGAAACAAAGTGTACTCGAGTGAATGGTAAGATATCCCGCAGAAACGCACGGAGTGCACAGGGGCTCTAACATTTGGAAAGATTTCGAAAGCATTAAACCGACTGTTAAGCTGAAAAGCTTTTTAAGTAGAGAAAGACGAAATTACTTGGACGTTCCATTTTAAGGCTGTTTTACACCGAAAACAGTGAGCTTCGTGCTGTAATATCCCAGTGGTCTGTAGAATTGCACCTTTAACCTTCGAGACTCAATCAGGAATTAAAGCTGATGTAGTGCAGTGGAAAAACGTCTTCGCTTTTTCAGTTACCTAACGTCGAGGGACAGAGTCGTTCATAAGAATCTGTTCGTCATAAAATTCACTATAAATCGCCATTTTACACGCCCTGTTTCATCTTAATTCTAATGTAATTCTTCCATCTATTCCGTGATCTTCCAAGTGTTCACTCTCCAACAAGTTTATCGACAAAAGTTCTATTATATATGAACTACCCGTCTCCACAATACGTTCCACGCATTCTGTGTTTCTAATTTTCCTTTAATTGTATCCCTTAATATTTTTAATATAAATTATGAAGTTCCTTATCATGCACTTGTCTATGCTAATACAAGGCTTAGATAAATAATTACTGTAAGAATTAGCTTACTGTAATATGGATTCAAAATAGTTTCCAAATGCATCCTTTGAGATCTCGCATTTGTTGGCTATTATACGTTCTTGGCATGACGTACACGAAACGAATACAAATGGAGTTGGTCATGTCTGTCTGTCTGCGCGTATATTTGCATGTTTCAACTCAAGAACAGATGGACGGATTTTTATGAAAAATCTGTACTCCTCCCCCAGTATTGTCAGGGTGATTAACTCGAGAAGAATGAGATTGGTGGGGCATGTAGCGCGCATGGATGGGGCAAGAGGTGTGCACTTGGTCGGGAAGCCTGAAGGGAAGAGACCTCTGGGGAGACCTAGACGTAGATGGAAGGATAATCTCAGGTGGGATCTATGGGAGATAGGAGTTGAAGGAGACTGGATTTTGTTGGCCCAGGACAGGGTCCGGTGGAGGGCTTTGGTTAATTCGGTGATGAACCTTCGGGTTCAGTAAGCCATCTAGTTAGTTAGTTAGTAGTATCTTCTTTGGAACCCATTAAGCATGTGGTCTACCCCAGCAGAAGCATAGAAACAATGGTAAGAGTTTGGCCCCCATTCCGTTGAAATGTTGGAAATCGTTGAGGACGCTGAAACGAAACCTGAGGAGTCTGCACCAGAGACTGATTCTGAGTCACCTGTTAAATCAACTAATGTCCAAGGAGACACAAGGAAGATGTTGCATGATGTTCAGGGAGATGCTACTTTGACAATTATCTCTAACAAAAAAATTGCTAGATTATCACTGGAAAATGTTGAGCAACCACGATCTCAACGATTATCAGATGAAGAAATTATCAGGGTGAGTGCAGTTGCTAGTAGTGATCCAACTGCATGTCTCCGTCTAATTCAGCTTCAAGCAGAATCAGTTGATAAATTGAATGATTCCCCACGTAAAGTGTCCGATCCTGGTTACTGTGTGAAAATGCATGCAACCTCAAGTGATAACCTACTTTCACTCTGCCTTCAGATGATGGACAGAATCAACAAAACAGAAGAGATCACTGTAACTGCATGGCGTCATTCTGAATATGTAATTCTAGATCCAACTAACATTGTGCCATTCGAAGCTATCCTATACAATAATATAATATAATTTATTTTGTACATTGCAAATGCGTGAAAAATGCAACTTTTTTAACTCGGTCAGAATTCGATGCCATAACTACTAGCGCGTGATTGTGATAGGCTGTCACGTTGCTAATTATTACCCTAGAGTAGCGAGATGAAGTTAAGCCGCATACAGAACACGTGACTTTTAAAGTTAGAAATTAAACTTGTTCAAGTGAGACAAAGTACGTCACGGTATCTTTCGGGAACTTTAGAATTAATAAGTTAAGATACATTACGCGATTCTAGGGTATGTACTTCATTTCGGTTTGTATGCAACATTAGAAACAAAGTCAAGATCCTGTATTTGAAACAATTCTGGCAACAATCAGGCCCAGATAAAACTAAATGAGTCGGTAGAGAAGAAATAACACTTTTAAAAGGCACGCATTTTAGTGGTAATAATTTAACTGGATCAGACTCAGTTGCAATTCGCTCCCGTCTCTTTTGCGAATAAATAAAGAAGATTTCTGTCTTCTGGGTTGTTGCGCTGTGTAGGCTGGTCGATGTTAACCAACGTTTCAGAGGACATACTGCCTCCGTCATCAGGGCGATTCATCGTTGGTAAACATCTACCAGACTACACAGCGCAACAACCCAGAAGACAGAAATCTTCATACTCATCGCCCTGATGACGGAGGCAGCAAGACCTCTGAAACGTTGGTTAACATCGACCAGCCTACACAGCGCAACAACCCAGAAGACAGAAATCTTCATACTCATCGCCCTGATGACGGAGGCAGCAAGACCTCTGAAACGTTGGTTAACATCGACCAGCCTACACAGCGCAACAACCCAGAAGACAGAAATCTTCATACTCATCGCCCTGATGACGGAGGCAGCAAGACCTCTGAAACGTTGGTTAACATCGACCAGCCTACACAGCGCAACAACCCAGAAGACAGAAATCTTCATACTCATCGCCCTGATGACGGAGGCAGCAAGACCTCTGAAACGTTGGTTAACATCGACCAGCCTACACAGCGCAACAACCCAGAAGACAGAAATCTTCATACTCATCGCCCTGATGACGGAGGCAGCAAGACCTCTGAAACGTTGGTTAACATCGACCAGCCTACACAGCGCAACAACCCAGAAGACAGAAATCTTCATACTCATCGCCCTGATGACGGAGGCAGCAAGACCTCTGAAACGTTGGTTAACATCGACCAGCCTACACAGCGCAACAACCCAGAAGACAGAAATCTTCATACTCATCGCCCTGATGACGGAGGCAGCAAGACCTCTGAAACGTTGGTTAACATCGACCAGCCTACACAGCGCAACAACCCAGAAGACAGAAATCTTCATACTCATCGCCCTGATGACGGAGGCAGCAAGACCTCTGAAACGTTGGTTAACATCGACCAGCCTACACAGCGCAACAACCCAGAAGACAGAAATCTTCATACTCATCGCCCTGATGACGGAGGCAGCAAGACCTCTGAAACGTTGGTTAACATCGACCAGCCTACACAGCGCAACAACCCAGAAGACAGAAATCTTCATACTCATCGCCCTGATGACGGAGGCAGCAAGACCTCTGAAACGTTGGTTAACATCGACCAGCCTACACAGCGCAACAACCCAGAAGACAGAAATCTTCATACTCATCGCCCTGATGACGGAGGCAGCAAGACCTCTGAAACGTTGGTTAACATCGACCAGCCTACACAGCGCAACAACCCAGAAGACAGAAATCTTCATACTCATCGCCCTGATGACGGAGGCAGCAAGACCTCTGAAACGTTGGTTAACATCGACCAGCCTACACAGCGCAACAACCCAGAAGACAGAAATCTTCATACTCATCGCCCTGATGACGGAGGCAGCAAGACCTCTGAAACGTTGGTTAACATCGACCAGCCTACACAGCGCAACAACCCAGAAGACAGAAATCTTCATACTCACCGCTGTGAAAACCTCAAATCATACAAATAGGTAAATCTTTATGAATATATTATACGTTGCCATTGATCTATTGCCCCGCGTGTGTGTGGAGCAAAGCTGATAGCCTATATGTACAATTTTATAACGAGAGATATTATAGAAACTGAGCCTTACGATCTGTGGCTTTTTTTATTTCTTGCCTTTCAGACTGGGAAATTCCTGTGTTTGCGACCGTCTTCCATTGTTTGCAGACTGCGCGCTGGTATAACACGGATAGTTGTCTTTCTTGCTGTTTGATGTTCATTATAATCTTTTCCTCGACTTACTTGTTTACTATTTAAACTCTCTCTTTCTCTCTCACCAGCTCTGATCTTGGAAAGTTTACCAACTCCCACGGAGCAGAGTCCTTCTTGAGACGTAAGTCTCTTAAGTGGTTGGAGAACTCCTTACGTTCTATGGTCCCGAAAGTTGTATTCTGTGTTTATGAAAGTCCGCTTCGAGACCAAACCCTCCGTTTTACGCGGGGGTAATAAACTTGAATGACTGAGAGAGGTGTGGGGTGGTACCAGTGTTCATTCGGTGGTACTCAACGTGTATTACAGGGGGCGGAGAGTTATTTTTCTACGGGGGGTGAATAATCTGCATAAACTGGGACGACGGCGAAAAAATGACCTAAGTCGCTACAATGACCACGGATCAGCGATGTCACTGTACTCGAACGAGTACGCCCTTCAAATATCCTTGTTGTGTGGAAAAATTTAAGCTAGCGTTTTGCCACGTCCACAACGAAAAAATTGCAAAAGGGCGCTACTGTAACGGGACGTAGCCAAATCCCTAACCGATGATACAAGTTGTACGTCGCGGGATGAGCAACGCTGTTAGAACCGGGTCGTGGCCTTCGCCTCGTTCGGCCTGTCCTAGACATTTTGGCTCCGCCATGCTTTCTTGTGCTTATCTGTCTGTCCGCACGTAACAACTACAAGACCATTGAAGGGATTTTCATGAAATTTGTTATTTATGAATTGTACGAAACTTTGTAGTCACTATCCAGATTTCTTTCAAATCGGTCAAAAATAACGCGAGTCTTTTCATGAAGGTCACATGCGTTACTCTACTCGGGCAACTTGGGAGGATTCCCCAGCCATCCGCATTCCCAGGAGAATCCTCCAAGATTACTCAATCTCCCAGCTGGAAAGGCACTAGACACGCCTCCCAAGCAGTCTTTGATTCAAGAAAACTGTGACGCCATTGGCGTAATTTGCAAAGTTTAAAAGAGAAATGTTGACAGGTGTGCTAGAATTGTTAATTTGTGCGTACACTATGTAACTTGTTAAATTTGGTTGAAAAAAATGTCTACCTTCTTGAGTTAGAGAGCGTGTGTCCTGTTTTGCTGACAATTCGATTTATTCCAGGACGACAAAATGGAACCCGGTGGGGTCAGATAGCGGCTGCTTTCCCCTCGGGGCCTCGGACGACCTCAGCCCCACGTAAGGACGACATCATCACACAAGGTAAGTGTGCAGAGCGCTACTTCTTTCTGCACCGCGGTGACTGGACGGCGGATGAAGCCGAAGAAAGTGACATGAATTTGTCTCAGAGAATCAGATCCAAATCATCAGCCACGTTCTGAACAATGCAAACATTTTCTGCTTCCTTCGTCCTTAATGTCCTTGATGTCATTTGATGTCCTTGATGTCCTCCACCTCTGCCTCCGCCTTTACTTTTATCACCTAATTCTCACCCTTCAATTTTCCTAAACTGTTTCTCCGTTATCATTATCCTCGCTCCCTACTTTTCCTTCACTTCTTTGATCACTTTTCTCCTTGCTGTTATCTTATTCTCATTCTCTTTGTCCTAATTCTTCATTTCCTTATTATTTCCTCCTTGTTATCTTCCGTTCCTCTTCCTTATAATCCTCCTCTTCCAGCTCCTTCCTTTCCTCCTACTTCTTCTTATCCATCTCCACATTGTTTTCCTTATTCTCGTCTTATCCTTCTCACTCTTGTCTTCCAAAATATATTTCTCCTCTTACGCTTTATCCCTTTCTCCCTTGTTATCTTCCTTCTCCTTCCCCTCATACTTTTCCTTTCAGTTCCCCCATATTTTCCTTCTTTCTTTCTGCTTATGCTTTCAACGAGTGTTTAACGCTCTGGCACGAACGAAATCCACCTTATCTGTCTTTCTCATTGTCGAGATTTCCCTTGGAACCAGCCAACCAACATGACCACACAAATTTCTTATATTAGACAATGATTAATCATTCTTTAATTTTTTTGCGAACAGAGAGACTACACAGATGGTTATGAAATGAATACAATAATAAATAAACATTTTCTTGCAGTTTCGTGTAATTTTTATTTAATTTTATACAAAGTTCGTAAAAAATAACACATAAGAAGTTTGGTATGGTTTTTAAATCTGTTAGATCAGACTTCATAATTTTCTCAGAAATCGATTATCTTACAAAATATATACTTTTTCTTCGTCTATAAGTTTTCTCATTACAATTTGTGTTATGTTTTATAATAAACGAAATTCATAAAATAATAAATTACGATTATTTTCTGATTAACACTCTTTGAAGAAGTAATCGCTGTTTTACACTGAGTATCATACAAGACCTGCATGTACAAAATGCACGATTACTGATTCAGAAACCTGGTGGTTCATGGGCTTTAAAGCGTTAAACTAAAATCCAATATAATTTCGTCAGATTTTACGTTATGCTAGCCTCAATATTCTGTGTTATGTAACGGATAAATATATTTTCACAAGCGCATTCTCCTTGAAATTTTCAAATCGGGCTCCATCCCCCCTCCAATTTCCGCCCCGGTAACTCTCATACGCGGACCCAAAGCGTCCACAAATATCACGTGACGAAAGCAGAGAGCCAGTCAAGAATGTTCCATGTTCGAGAGCCTTTATTAAAACTGAAAGAAATCTCTGTAGCTCAAGAACTGAACATGTTTGAATTACAATTTCCGTCCTTATTTATCAGATCCACAGTTAGGTCTTTCAAGTACGTATTTTTCTACGATTACTAATATGATAGTAAAAAAATTAAGTTTGGAATTGGTATAATTTTTTAATATGGTCCTTAAAGTCGTGATATCTGTGTGTTGAATAATATTATTCACTGAACGAACGCGGGATGCTTAGGGCATCTTTGCTTGCACGTGAAGAGAAGCGCATATGCCAGGGCAATGGTCCAGATGGATGGACGCCGAGCGGGTATCGAAGCATGCTACTGCGCATGCGTGGGGCATAGCTGCAGACGGGGGGGCAAAGTGAGTGAACAGTGAAAATAGAATTTAATCAACGGATTTCAAATTGATCGATTATTTCAGTCCATCAACTTACCTCAGCATACTTTATGACATTCGATATGGGGGGGGGGGGTTACTGAAAGGTGTAAAAAAAACAATAATATTCACTTTACCTGCGTTTCTGCGTACTGATATAATTTGGTTAGAAATTTCAAAATGGATAATCCCCTATCAACCGCGCAGTCACATGAAGAGTCTTGAAGATGGCTGTCTTCTTGGTTGTTACAACTACCAGACAACACGGTGCAACAACCCAGAAGACTTCAAACTCACCGCCGTGAAAACCTCGAATCCTACGTGAGGAATCTTCCCTCGTTACGTCATTACACATTTATATAGACAGACAGACGCCAAACACCACACCCTCAAAAAGGTAATTACCCCCAGGCATTCTGACGTCACTAGAGCCATTGCCAAAGGTCACAGGTCGAGTTCCATTGGGAGCGGCAGAATTGTTATGCTATGCATACATTTCCTAACTTGTTAAATAATGAAGTCAGTTATTATCTAGTAATGAAGGATGTGCTTCAGTTTGACGTAATTCTGTTCTTTGAGTTGAATGTACGTGTATGTGGTCTACACTATCTAATTCAGTGGTTAAATTACACACAAACGTAAAATACAATTTAACCAGAAAGTCACGCAAACATATTGAAATATTTGTTGTTGGTTGCAAATCAACTCAATTCGATTTAATTAATAAACAAACAACGTCGATGAAACGAGATCTCACGCAGGCCACGTCCTGTTCTAACCTTCCTGCGCCAGTTCGCTATATATTTTCCGACAACCGAAATGTAAGATTTTTTTTTTTCAAAAGTGCAACGAATGTTTATTGTCGAAATGCTTCGCTCGTGTAACTTGTGTTTTTCTTGCTCTCGCGAATTCAATTTCGTTCAACAGTAGACTTGCAATAAATTCATAATTTCCCCGAATCTCTAGACAGTTCTTGTAAAAGTTTCTTGTGAATGTTCACATTTTGTTAACTTTTTTTTTCTTTTGACGAAATTCTATGAAAGGGTTCGGAGGCCTTTCAGTATGACACACAAAAACACATCGTAACAAAAGGATTCTTTTTATGCAAGCAAAATTAGTAAGCTTACATCAAATTTTCTCCACTGACTTTTAAATAGACTTCATACAATAATTATTATATTTGTTTACCGTCAAATCACAATAAAATAGTAAGATAAGATAATTAAAATGATTAAAATATCATCTTATGTTCCATATCGAGCATTCGATTTACATCGGAACATTCACAA